TATATATATACTGAATATTATCAGCACATGTACTACCTGCATACAGGATATACATGTTCTCATTTATTACTGAACACCGCACCTCATTCACAACAGATAAGTATCCATTGCGACCAGGAGATGGCATCAGTAAACCCTTTTATTAGAAATTTCCTTCTAAAAATGCTTCCAGGCTGCATGGAAAATGGACGAAACATGAAAAGAGAAGAAATAAAAATCAGTAGTTAAACGCATTTCTTTAAAGCAGGAAGTAAAATTTTGATAGATTATACATTCATTGAACACGGTCAAAATATGAACGACTACAATATATCAGCCTTTTGGTTCCTCATCCCATAGGGCAAGGGTGGGCATCTTTGAACTACGAGTCCCATGAGGCATTGCAAGATTGCCAGCCACAGGCAAAGGCATGTTGGGATTTGCAGTTAAAGCACAGCTGGAGGGCAGGGGTTGCACACCTCTGCCCTAGGATATCACTTATAATGCTTGTATATAACCCTTCATGACCTGAGGTCATTAAATCCTAGATGTCCCAGACCAAATATAACTGTGTGATTATTTATCATTATGCATCATTTAACTTAACTCCTACCTAACTACCTAAATAATTTTTACATTGGTTTTTTTAAAGACACGTATGGCTTTTATTTTGTACAGGATTTAATAAATACCTTCCTCATGTTTTTTGTTTTAACATTTAAAAGTTTAATTTTTAAAGTGTTTTTTTTGTAGAAATAACAGTTTTAAACTTAATTTTTTAAAATTTTTACAAATAAAAAGGTTTAAAAAAAACTTTTTACATTTATTTATTTGTTTGTTTATTTAGCTAGTTACACAATGTATTGATTTCTACCATTATGCATCTTTATGTGTACTGCGATTCCACAGAGAGAGAGAGAGAGAGGCACCGGGGTTGATTTACTAACCTTATAAACACGCCACGAACAAGTATACACCTCTGTAGTGTGTTCCCTCCCAGCATGATCTATTGGTGGGATCTAGACACCTTTGTAGTGTGTACAGCAGGTGTGTTGTTCAAAGCCCTGCATGAATTGCAAGGTGATGTTGTGTAAATTAGCTCTACGTTGTGTTGCTTGCATTGATGAATGCAGGAATGTAAATGCATGAGCTAACCATTTTTGTCTAAACTGTGAAGCAGCATTATATATGCATCATGTGCATGATTTTTCCATATATGGCATTAGTGGAAATATGCTTTTAGAGACTTTTTGGTTGATAAATACGTTTTGCTGTGTGAAAATCACACGCACCTGGTGCGTGCGTGTGTTTAGGTTAGTAAATCACCCCCACCGTGTCATCTGCAGGCTAGAGAAGTTTGCATGTACAGTAGATAAACCTCAAGCATGCATGTGATCATCACGATTGGCTGATATGGTGATCCTAGGATCCAGAACCACGCTTATGAGTTCCTGATTGTCAGTCTGGAATTTACAGCTGGCAATGGTCTAAGAACAAGAAACAGTGGTCTAGGAACTAGCATTGTGTACAATTCTATTTCTTTCTTTCTAGATATAGATAGATAGATAGATAGATAGATAGATAGATAGATAGATAGATAGAGCGATAGATAGACGGAGAGATAGATAGGCATGCACACAGGGTGTGCCGGGTGTGCCTGTGCACACCCTAATCACCCTGAGCACAACACCAAAACCGCAACAGCAGTCACGTATTTATAGTCACTGAGCTGTTGAAGAGATCACAAAGCACTCTGGGGCAGCTCAGCGATACAGAGCACAGCTGCACGTGCCACTTACATTCCTCACGTAACAGCTGATAGCACA